TTGCCTGCGGTAGGTCTGAAGAGCAGAGGAATTTGCTAGAGCACCGTGGCAGAGTCATTACTGAGAAGCTTAACAAAGCAGAAGGGCCAGCAACACCTGCTTGCTCTCCATGTGTCGATGGAAAAAGGTCCTGTATCTTCCAGCCTGTCCCCGTAGCAGATTACAACATCTCCCCAAGAGGACTGTCAACGGTTTGGTGGGAGTTTTAAACTGAACGGTGTGCTTGCCAACCTGTACGTAAAAGTACCGAGTATCACTGCACACGTAAAGGTTAAGCGAATGTAAAATTTGACAGATGGGCTGCTGCTTCTGTGGAATAGAGCAAGCATTAAGGCAGCTGTTATTTGCTCCTTATCAATACGTTTCTAAAGATAGCAGCAAACACGTAGATTTTAGAGTACCTGATGTTTTGCACCGATGATCAGAAACACTACTTAACTGCCAGTACAGCAGGGACGGCATTCTGCTATAAACCAAGCCCATTTAAGAAATCAAGGCAAAAGCAACTGTATGCTACTGAAGAGAAAGAATACACGATGTTTTGGGAGCCATTTCAGGTGGCTTATCCCTTATTCATTCATCTTGCTCTTTTTCTCTCTTCCTTGCAATTCGTGGGTTGCTGCGTATAGGAACTTTGTTTTCTTTCCCTTCCATCTCATCCCTTAATGTTTTAGGCTTATTTCCATAACTAGATTTGTTTATACAGGGTTATTCAGGGACAGTTATACAATTATTGGAGAATAGCTGTTTGATTTTAAAGTCAGCACTGTAGAATTCAAATTCCAAGTAAAGAAAATCCTCACTTCCACTCCCACGAGTTGTCAGATGTTAGCAGAGAAGCATCCAGCGGTTAAAACATTTCCAAAAACGGTTTTCAGCATACAGAATTTGCAGGGCTCCCTGCTCTTAAAGCGAGGAACGGTACCCACACATAGGACGACACATCACTACTGCTTCATGATGGGTCAGCACGCATGACCCAAAGTATCCTCTTACAGACCACTTAACTATAACTATAGATGTATCAAAGAATCACCAGGAAATGTCCTGTAGAACAGCTTTTCACTCTCAATTGCCAAATCACAAAGCCAGAAGTACACTTCATGTTTCCAAATTGTATTTTCTTCATAGTGCACTGCTGGTTTTGCTACAGAAATACTAATCAGCAGCACCTCATCAGACGGTCAATACCTGCCAGCAGGGAGACATCTGAAGATGTTCACTGCGTGAATCACTTCTTGCAACGCTGTTCCATTTCAAGACCATCCTGGTTCTTCAGTTCCCTGAGCACACCGACGTAACATGCACGCTGGTTTTCATTTTTCCTTAGATATGTGGCTTATTTATGAGAAATACAGGTTACAGAAATGTGCGTTCTGACTCATTGTTTATGAAAGTACCAACGATTTACTAACTTCAGTTAGTATTTACTTCCAACAAACGGTATCCTGTAATTCAGGAACCAGTCTCCAATAAAGGTCTTGAGCAGAAACATCTATGGCTTGCTGCAATGCCCGCTTACTTTTCCCCGGCTATCAACCCTTCCATTCCCTCTGGGTGGACACCTTCCTCAAAAAAGGGAATGAAAAATGTCATCCCATCCCTATACACAGCCCAAATTTACTGTTCAAATCCATCCTCTTTGACTCTTTAAGCTAAGCTTTTTGGCCCCATGTCTTACAAATGGAGTATGTTTTGCTTCTCAAACTGACCTGGAACACCTCGCAGCACACGACAGATAATAAAGTAAGCTGTGCAACAATCCCCGAGATGTGGGCAGCTTAGCTCCATTTTACTAAAGAGGCAGTTAAATACTAAGAAGTTAATCAACTTGTCCGGACCACAGCGTAACTAAAGGAGGAATATAAAACCTATCAGCGTCCCTCCCCGTTCACCCTGAAGTTTCACTAACCACAGTAACATCACTGAAGCGCTTGCTCTCTGAACAGGGATGCACAAAAAAGCTCCGAGAACACCACTCACCCCCTGGAGCCCACTAACAATAACCAACAAATAAGGTGGGTTTTCCAGAAAGGACTTCAAGTAACCAAAGCGCCAAGCCGGCCCCTTTCTGCACTTTGCTTAACTCCTCAGCAGTTCGCTGAGGACCTTAACCAGCCAGGAAAAACACGCTTTTGCCTCGACGCACTGCGCACCCCGACAGCCAAGCCCCAGCCCCTCGGCCAGCCC